CACAGGAACTTTCCCACCAAGTTTCAGAATACTGGAGCCACGAAATCTAAACCCGGTAACTCTAACGCAAATTAAGCTCCAGTCTCACCATCGGGCTAAAAATACCCATGGCTTCAGTGAGATAAAATGGGGGCGGGGGGGGTAGCCCCACTGCAGCAGAGTCAGAATATTATAGGCTCTGAAATCAGACAAGCAGGAGCAGAGGGGATTCGGCCTCCCAGATCTACTGGTGACCACTACCTGCCCAGACTGATCTGCAGGGATCACACCTGCCCGCCCCGACAGGGGACTTTGGGTCTCGGGGTCCCTGATGTGGAGTTTCTCACAAGGGGAAAGCGGAGGGCTGGCCTCTGACCAGGCTCTTACCTGAGGATCTGATCGCGTCTACTGACTTTCCTTTATACTTATCAAACAGGCTGAGAGTCGAGTACTTGCTTTTCCCATCCTTGCCCTTGGTTATTTGCCCCAAACGATCGGACATTGCGATGAAATGTCATCTAGTAAGGAAATTTTTCTCGGCACCGCTCCCGATCTGCCTTTAGAATGGGACAAAAAGAGTGTGTCACTCCACAAGAACCTCTGGTCTATGAATTAGATCCTGCGGGGATCCCGGATCTCCTCGGAGATCTGAAGAAAGCTTTGGACTGTCCGTCCCTAGGACCACACACGGGTGGTTTCACTCACATTTAAGGAGCGTTCTGCAGACCTGCTGATGCCAGCCCCCACTCCCCGTTCAGAACTGTCTGAACCGGCCGCAGCCTGCTGCTCTAACTGAAATGTGAACTTGCGCACACCGAGTCCTCTCTCCGAGTCAATGACCTCTCTTCAAGATGGAAAAATAAACGCTCATCACTCGGGGCACCTCCATGTAACACCCAAACTACAGGAGTTACGTGTCCGGACAGCAGGGCACGTGCACTTCTCAGTACAAAGAACCAGCGTCCAGAGAGAAGAGACGTGCTGAGCACATGAGCCCCGCTCTCCCAGGTGCGGCCGGTGGCGGTGATGGTGACGGTGGTGGTGACAGTGACGGCGGGGAGGTGAGAGGCTGAGAGCAAGCGCTCCCCAGGGAGTGCAGAGGCGGTGATGGTGGCGGTGATGGTGGCGGTGATGGTGACGGCGGGGAGATGAGAAGCTGAGAGCAAGCGCTCCCCAGGGAGTGCAGAGCCCGCAGGTACCAGCTGTACCTGCCTCTTCCACTTAGAGAAAGTCTCAAAGACCAGGAAAGAAGCTTCTGCCGCTGATTTCCTCCAGGCGTCCACATGTCCATCACTGCTGTCCTCATCAGCCCACCTGCTCACTCACTGACTCCCTCACGGACACAGTGAGTGCCCGCCAAGAGCGCGTGCGTGCTCCGCGTCAGGACCGAGGACCGGGCGTTCGGCGCTGTTTATTCCACTCTCAACCTCAGCTACAGGTTCTAACCGTGATCGTGAAGTAAACACTTGCGTAAGTGACCACTGTTCCCCACTGGAACTCACGTAGGGGAAGGAAAGCTAAAGCACCGAGTTCGGCATATTGATGCCTTTAACGACAAAGTGGAGATAACTGTGAAAATGTCCACCGACTAATGAAACAGGCAGGAGCCGCGGCGGTAAGGTCTGCTGTCTCAGCCTGTTCTGAAGCCCACAGGCCAGAAAGAACACAACCGGTGTGCTGGGGAAGCATCTGGTGCCCCAAAGATGATTTTAAGTTAAAACTGTTTATTATGATCCAAGACTACAAAGCACAGGGAACAAAGACCAGTTACAAACTGGGGCCCAAAAAATATGAGCCGGGAGACGCTGATTCACACCCCTGCACACAGGTGTGCCCGGAGCCACGCCAAATGTGAGCAGAGACAATCCATCCTTTCATTCATGTCACAAACCTTGACCGATACCCACGACCTGCTCGTCACTGTCTCGGGAGCAGGAATAGATAAGCACGTACTTCTTATCAGAAAACACTCACAAACGATGAACACAGACGGACGCTGAGTGCTAAGCGCCGTGAGCTGGGTGTGTGTGTGTCGGGGTCACCTCCCACATGGTTTCAGCCACCCGACTGGATTGTCTACTTAACTCCATCCTCACCCAGATCCGGGTTTCACCGCTACTGCCCTGGAGAGAGGCACGGTCAGCGGCCAAGCCCCGGAACCTGACCCCACTGGCAGGGGACTCGGGCACAATGAAGAAATGAACCAGCAGAAATGCTCACAAGTGCTCACTGCTCCCAGGTTGTACGTGAGAGCCACTCAGAGATGCCAGCAGCCCTCCCCGGTGTCTGCCTCATGGGCCAGGAGCAAAGAATAGCGATGACCAGGGGTGCAGATTGGCCAAAAGTGTCCAAATCCTCATTTTGGTGCCCCACCCCAAAAGTCATCATTAACAGCAGCTGGACCATGAGCCCTTGGACACAGGGCTCAAGCGCAGGGAGGGGACCTTATTCATCGGAATGGCTCATGTTTAATAGGCTATCAAATGTCAATCAACCTGAAATTCTCATTTAAGATTAGATGAGATCGAATTTTCAGACACTTCGTCCACTCAAACCAACAGTAAAGTTCAACTGGGTTGGAACCAGAACCCTCCCGACACACACATGCACGCACACTAGACGACTAACAAATGCCACCGTGGTGACAGCAACTCATGGCCCCTGCCTCCCAGAGCTAACAGCCTAGAACAGGAGCTGGCAAGTGCTAGTCGGAGCTCCAGACAAGGGTCTGTTTCTCTAAGGCCCTCAAGCTAAAAAATTTAACATTATATTAGTCTTAAAAAAAACCAAAGAATACGCCACAGAGACAGCATGTGGCCCACAAAGCTACGTGTGGAAAGGTTTGCTGACCGAGTCTTAAAGAAGCACTCTGCAAGGCCTCCAGGTGGGAGACCGACGGCAGCCCAGGAGTCACTGAAGTTCTTGAAGCGGGGGCCTGTCCGAGCAGGGCCACCAAGAGGAGGGGGGCCCAGGCAGAGGGACGGAACACGCGTCCGCTACGCCAGCGGGAGTCACTCCGTGCACTCTGCTAGGGGTGCTGAGGGACAACCCAACACTCCTTTTACAAACTCGTGTGGCAGGACGGATGACAGAAGTGTCAGAGTCCTAATTCTCGGAATCTGTGCCCATGTCATGTTATGTGGCAAAAAGGGACTCGGCAGATGTGACAGAATGAGGATCCTGAGATGGGGAGAGTACTCTGGATTATCGGGGTGAAGCCGATGTCATCACAAGGGTCCTCGGAAGGAAGAGGAAGAGGGACTTGAGTCGGGAAAGTGTGACAACAGAAACAGAAGCTGGAGTGATGCTCTCAGAAGACGGAAGCCTCTAGAAGCTGGGAAAGGCAAGAAAACAGATTCTCTCCTCCAGAAGGATCACAGAACGCAGCCCTGCTGACATCTTAATTCTAGCCCGGCAAGACTCGTTTCAGACTCCCGACCCCCAGAACTGTAAGAGAGCCCATCTGTGTTGTTTTAAAAGTCACTAAACTTGCGGTAGTACTTCACAGAAACAAAAGAAAACACACTCGTTTACTCAACGTACTTTTTTATCAGGCGCCATGGGCCCAGGGCTAAGGGGCGCCCGGGACGTGGCAGAGGGTAAGCCGGGCATGGGCTACGACGCCCGGCGGGCTGCAGAGATGAGGGGACAGAGCTCATTACAAAGAGCACGTCCCAGCGTCTTTCGCTTCCGCACGACGATGACAAGTGCCAAGCTGTGGCTGCATCCGTGCTGTGGCTGACCACGGCGCTCACCGGACCGCTGACTCCACAACAGCGCTACGTGAAACCAGCGACGCGTCCGTCCCGGCCACATACGGCCTTGGCACCGGGAGCTTCAATGCCGATGACCAGCTCTCACTAAACTAAAAAGGTCGGTAAAGACAGAAGGAAAGATGCCTGCCCAGCCATTCGGGGCCATCGGACTGCCATGTAAATCTTAACGTGCTTAGTTTTTAAAAATCAAATGTTTTTTAATCCTGAAACTTGACCAGAAAATACTTATTTCTATAGATACCGCTAAAAAGTCTTCTGAAAACCTGTTAGTCCAAACCCCTGCCAAGTCACATACAAGTAAATCTTTCTTTGCTTCTGCGCTGCCCGGGCCGGCGGGCAGAGTCAGAGAGGACAAAGACTGCTCCCGGGGTCTTCCTGGCGACACGGCCCACCTCCGGGAACGCACTGGTTCCCATCCCCGGGAAGCACCAGGAGACACCGTACTCCTGGCACCCCTGAAAGGAAAAAAGAGAGAGAAGCCTAGGCAACTGTGAGTCACTCCCCTGGGAATTTAGAATCATCTGTGTGACGTCAGATGCTTGAACTTTGTCTTCCCGGGAAATTCAACCATTTCACCAGATACTTAGAATCTACCACGTCCAGGTGACATGCCTTCCGCCCACACAACCAGAGCGCCTTGGGGAGGCCAGACGGGGAACACGCTGCACTCAGCCTGCACGTGCCATTTCCTCGTGCCCTTCCCCCATCCAACCACGTTTGTACCAGCTGGACACGCCACTGGCTCCCACAGACCTCAGTCTCCCCATCTACAGAATGCGGGCCCAGGACGAGCGGGCTCTGAAATCACTACGACGTGAACCCACAGCCACAGAATTACGAATGAGACCTATTGTCAAAGCAGCCACCTCTTATCACGCAGCTGGGACTGGAGTATGTTCCTGCATAAACCTGGGGCGCTAACGGACAATGCGACTGAGTCGCCACGGCCATGGAAACGGCACCGGGTACTGTTCAGACGCTTGCCGTTTTAACACTTCGCAGTGTTCTTCCAGCCCCGATTTCCCCTGGAGCGGGGTCGGCAAATTACAGTCAGCCTGAAGGACGGGCAGCGGAGGCCTCCACGGCCCACCAAGCATGACGTGCTGGCCCTTTACAGTTTCACCGATTACAGACACTGGCCTCAGAGCATGCAAAGGTTCTTCCACTGGGCCAGATTTCTCTGGACCGAAACCCAAAATACAGGTATAATCATTCGGTTTCCGCCAATTACATGCAGCTCCAGCAAAGCTGTACCATATTTGGGGCCCAGCCCAGCCCAGCCCCATACCCACCTCGCTACTCTGCTTGCCGGCTGGTTTTCACCAACGCCAGGCCAGGAGCACGAACTGTTGTAGGGGTTTAACCAGCTTCTGCACGCGCGCGCGCACACACATGCACACGCTCAACCAGCCTCGTCGCACGGCAGAAAGAAGTGTAGCAAACATCTGGGTGTGACTCACGAGGCTGGCCGAGGTGTGTTCATTCTCGCATGACTCACGCTTGGATCCGTGGGACAAGAGCTGGCTGAGAGGCCCCGGGTCCTTGCGGGCGGCACAGATCTAGCCTGGCTCGCAGCCACGGTTTTCACGCTGCTTTCTCTCCCTTTTGTAGGCAACAGAATTCATTTTTGGTTCTTTTTCCTCAAACAAAATCTAACTGGGATCCTCAGTATTACACACACAACAGATACGAGCCAAGGGCGCTCTGCCTGGGGCAGCGGGGGCGGGTTGCCTGCGTCCCACCCCTCCTCATGACCTCTCCTAACCGAGGCACCGCCATGG